TTACTAATTTTACTTTAATTTTATATTAAAATTAGAATTCTATGAAGGCATTGTGAACAGCAGCTTAATGGACAAAACGCTTTATGTATATGTTACATATATGACTGAAAAAATTTGAAAAACTGAAATGATCCCTTTTTGGGAAACGATCTCCAGTTCTCGGTATCGGCTGCACCAATTTTATTCAGACTGATCACAATCGAAAGATACCGACGACATATAATAAAAGTGTTTTTAGATCTTTAATTGCGGCTGTAGTTTCTGAGTAATTTTAATCTAAAGTATATACAAATTTAAACGGGCCGCTTGACCGCTTAACGTGTGAACGTCATTGCGTATATGTTCATGTCGTTACCAATTCGCGAGGCTATAAACGACATGAATATATACATAATGATGTTCACACATCAAGCGGCCTGTTTTATATTTTTATACACCTTTAATTTAAAAGTAATTTATTAAAGTATTAAAGTAACTATACAGTGAAATGTCGACACATAATACAGTACCAATGAAACTATAGATAAATAAGTCGGTAAATGACAGCAATAAACGAGTGCCATCTATCGTCGAAAATATGAAAAGGAGATGACTTTTTGAGGAGACATATTTTACATGAAATTTTGACATTTCGGATTTCGCATCACGATATCTCCATTCGTGGGACACCTAGAGGTAAAATAAACGTTTATTATATAATTCGGACCCAAATTATCGATAGAACTCATATTCAGAATTCCATCGGTCTAGCCTTTATTAAAAAAACCGAGAATTTCGGGTACTCGGATGCCCGCAACTCGTTGACTCGCGTAAAGACACTCGTGTCTCGCGCTGCGCGCCCACTTGGCGCGACACACTACCGTGTCTCTTGATTAATCTCGGAACATGCACACAAAATGAGTCTCTTACTGTGCTTTTTAAATAAGTTTCAAATTTTCTTCAGTCATAGGTACTTATGCTCTTCTTCTTGACTCTAGCCTTTCTGAAAATTTATACAAATTATAGTTTAAGAACTAACGCAGAAAAATTAACGAAAAAGCGCTGTAAAATTGAAAATTTGGGAAATAAGTAACCCACTCTTGGCTAGGAACGTGGACAGGAGTCAAGTGTTAGAACTATTTCACACATTTTGCACTCATTTAAATATCTTATAAATCAAAATCGCTTATTTTCTTCTCATAAAGTTCTGAGAATTTTTTCAGAATTTTTTCAGAATTTTTTAATACCGTATTTTCTCTTGTTGATAAAAATAAGAAAATGCAGTACTAAAAAGTCCACGAATCCGACTTTTACACATCGGTGCTCTCCACTATTTCATCTTTCCTCGAGCTGTTGATCACTATTACGAATCCCAATATCTCCTACACATCCGTCGCAGAAGAGACACAGATTCAAATCCCCGGTAACTGAATGCCTTTTGCATACTTCGCTACTTACAATGTCGGTATAAGCCGTATCAACTCTTACAACCTTTATTCCAATTCAAACTAAATATGACTAATATGTCAATCAAACAAGTAGTGCCATTTTTGCTACATTATGAGACATGACATTAAGTTAGAGGATGATTTAATTTATTATTAATGAAAAATATTAATTGTAGAACTTACGTATTTTTACTGAGAAGCCACATGTAATATTTATTGGAGAAATTTTCGGGTAGAACACATTCTGTGTCGAAACGTGAATGCTGTATCGCGTGAGGTTGCATTCGAGGACTGAACGTGAATGGACGCGAAACAACGTCGTCTAGACTAATCATTTAAAATATCTTAATACATATTCACCGAAGTTTGTCTGTAAAGGGATGTCACGCTCTGAGATTCTGTATACATAGTTTATGGTTTTCTTATTATTCATACATTCTGTACGTATGAATAATTTTGGTAGAGAAAGAAAGACCTACGCATATCATCTTGCTTTCCTTTGTGTGAAAAATCTTTTTATAAAGACTTTGCAAAATGCATACGTTTTTGTAACTGTAAATACAGCACTGAAAAAAGTTTCTGGTTGAAAATGGACGAATCAGAAATTTCTCTCTGGTTAAATTTATTAGAATTCTAGTTGAGATAACCGGAATTCTGATTGATAAGGGAATGTCGTACAGGTTGGGACGGGTTTCGTTTTTGGTGTGTGGTATTGAAACGGATGGGAATGACGTTAAATAAAAAATACCAATAAAAAAGTATGGTCATTGGCTACAACTTTGCTATAGAAAATTATTTGATATCGTGTTCGAGTCAGAAGTTACAGACATTTTAATGAAAACACCTTTTTCGGCCAAAAAAGAATTTGCCGTATAAGTTGGGACACTTTCTAAAATATGAAAAATGAGCCAAAAAATGCATGTTATTAATATGATTATTATTAAATGAACATTACGTATCATTCTGTCAGTAATTACAAACTTTTTTGAAGTTAATCAGAATCACAATTTGCGCAGGTAAAAAAACTCGTTCGCATATTAGCGCATTTTAAGTGCACAGCGCGTTTGCACGTGTTGCATTCGACGGAGTTGTAACGAGTCGGTTTGCGAGGCATGTTTTTCATGCATATAATGCAAAAATCAACATCTTCATCATCATCATCATCATGATCATCATCATCGTCCTCTGATGACGAAGAAGAAGTCAATTTTTTCTTCTCGCGTTTTTTTGCAGGTTGCTTCCGTGCCGATTCTTTCGATGCAGGTTGTTTCCTTTTTAGTAGCCTCTTTTCTTTATTCGCGGTGGCTTTTTCTTTAGCAACCAATTTTTTTTTTCCTTTTCTTTCGCTTCGGAGATATTTTCCGACGATGTTAAAACGCACCTCTTCATTGGTTTCCGGTTCACGATTACATTTTTTGCCTGGAGTTGAAGCACACAAAGGTCCGACGGAAGACAAAATCGAGGACATCGTACTTGATGTTTTTGATGTACTGGTCTCTTCATGCGCAACTATTTCTGGTACGTTTATAAGAATGCGACGCTGCAATTCCATGTTACTTTCTTCTGACTCAGCTGCAATAACTTTATCATTTTCACCATCAACTACCGCCTGAACGAAGTCTGAGTCGGTGAATACATTCGGGTTGAATGGGGAAATTCCAGTGGCTTGAAACCCTGCTTTTATATTGCTTGGAGTAAGCGCCAAATCCAACGCTTTTTGCACTAAGCTAGCAATATGGCGAATTTCAATGACTTTGTTAGCGTTGTTTTTCTGCCAAGCATTGCACTGAATCTTATAGTAGCTTTTTACCGGGCCATATACCGACACATCTAGAGGTTGTAGTTTATGGCTGGGAACGATAAAAGCGTCACGCCATTTTCTACGGCCATATCCAAAACCTCGACAGATAAATGCGAGCTGTGGTTGTCGATCAGGAGTAACGTTGGATTTGCCAACGACGAATTACTTCGTTCAATGAAGTGTTTCATGTACTTCACGAAATCTGGTTGGCACATCCACCCCGACTCATTTGCAAATCCAACAGCTCCAGGTGATGCATCATCCATGTAACAGCCCTGCATTTTTTTTGTTGGAAACAAAAAATATGGCGGTATCGAATTGCCTTCTGCATTCACTGTCAACGTCATAGTAATCATCCTTCCTCGTTCAGCAGATGACATTAGGCCGACCTTTTTTATGCCACGAACTGCAATTACTTTTCCAATTTTTGTTGGAACCGTGGAAAAACCGGTTTCATCCATGTTCCAAATATTTGATGGTTGAAATGGATGAGTTGTTAGAATATTATCTAAATTTCCGAAAAAAAGTTCCACATTCTCTTTGCAGAAAGCTTTGACGCGATTTAAACTGGTTTGTTCTGGTGTTCGTAAAGTCAGGCTTGAATGCCGCTGCAAAAAGGAATAGTACCAGTCTCGGCCTGCAGTTTCATGTTTATCCCAGCTTGGTGGGTATGGAGCATCAATTTTTTTGGCGAACTGGTAGGCAAGCAATCTGAGGTCTGCTATACTCAGGCCATAATAATGATCGCAACATCTTTTAATGTAAACCACTAATTCTTCTTCTTGTTCGGGTGAGAAAACCTATAAAATTTTATTTGTTTAATTAGACATAGTTTGTTAAAACAAATTCATAACTCCTTAAAATGTGAATAACAAAATCCGAATAAATTCATTAAAGTCGCTGCAAAAACGAAAAAAGTCAATTTTAAAAATAATTAATGATTAAAATAAGACCATCAACTTACCAACGATGGAGTGGCGTACGAAGAAACGCTTCGTACGCCACTCCATCCTGGTTTAACCAGCTTCAACAATGCATCGTCGCCGAGAGTTGAAATATCTTCGTTTGCGTCGTTAATTTTTTTTATATATCGCGCCAAACTGCTTTTTGGGATATTATGCGCTTTTGCAGTGGATCGTATTCCCTTAAAATCGATTTTTATTTCCTTGATCGCTGCGATTAAATTATCCCAATCTGTAACTCCGTGATCAGTTTTCCGAACGTAGCGTGACATTGCGAAAAACTACGCAGAGACATGAAATGAAAGAAATATGTCACAATAATACAAAATTCTATCATAAATATAATTGCATGCATCAAATGTTATTAAAATATCATTTAAATAGCATCGCAGTGTCTTGGGATAAAAAAACGTGCTGTCCCAACTTATACGACACAAGTGTCCCAACTTGTACGGTAGACGCCATTTCGTGAAAGCCGAAAAATA